TGGTTAAAAATAGTACTTTTTTACAAAAATGTTACATTTGAAAACCGGTTATTTGTTTAAAGGTTACATTTAAAACTGGATAATGTCCGTTGAAGTTGTATTAATAAAAGTGGATAAATTTGTTAAATTTGTGTAAGGTTATATTTAAAAAATAGTTAAATTAAATATTAATTAGATAGTATCTACGTGTACGTGTTTCTAAAAATTTCAAAAATGGTTAAGTATACAAAAGAATGCTTATTAAAAAATCTAATGATAGTTCATATATCTGATTGTGGTTTGGAAGTAACATGTAAATGTAGAAAAGTTATTAAACTTAAATGAGCTTATGATGAAGTTTATTTTTTAAGTCATATTAATAGTAGTGGTTGCAAGTTCCAAGATGGTGTCATTTCAATTTTGAATTTTTTTTCACCAACTTTAAAAGATAATCAACCTACTACAAAACGATATGCTTGTACTGGATTAGACAGCCCAATTTACAAAGCTTATATTAATCGAGTATTTATCCATACTACTCATGGTGGAGCACCAAGAAGAGAAGTTGTTGCCCAAGAACTTTTTCCAAAAAAATTTCCTCCAGATAAGGCTGTAATATAAGAAACTTTCAGAAAATGATTTGCAATTATTAGATAAAGAAATAATTCGACAATCTAAGTGGAAAATTGAAGGTCTAGTAGTACGATCTGTTTCATGTGAGCAATATACTACAAATTCTTCTCGTTTATGTAATTATTGTAAAGAAGTTCAAGATGACCAAGTTTTTAAAGTATATACAGTATAATTTTTAATACTGTAATTAGTAAGCTTTAACGTTAATAAAAATTAAATTTATAATATATATAACTATATATATAGAATGCTGTATCAAAACGAGACACACTAAATTCTAAAAAAAAGTTTATACCAAAGATTCAACTTCAAAGCAATCCGATTGCTAAATATATATATAATCAGGATATTGGCGATCTTTTATATTTAGCAAACAATATTAGTACAAACAATAACAACTCTTTTTGAACAAAGTTTGCAGAGATGGGCAGAAATGGTAGTTTTAATAATTAAAAAATATTTGAAGATCTATGTAATGTAATGGTTCAGATTGCAGATCAAGAACAGCATAAAAAAGAACTTCAAAATCTCAAGTATTCAAAACAATTTTCTGATTTCTTGGTTATACTTGCAAGTCTTAGTTCACGAGTATATAGTATTTTTCGACAAAACTTAGCTGAACATGTTATTCAAAATATTAGGTATATATAATTTATTTTTGTTTAATATTTTTATTTTATTATTAAAAATTATTTAAACTTTTTTTAAAATTACATTGTATACGTTCACCTTATGCTCTTCATGATCCTGAGTTATGTTTTGAAAATGTAGCACAAGTTAAAAGACTTGTAGACATAATTGAGTATGCTGGTCCAATTATTGCAATGTCAGACAATACTAAAATTAAGAAAAGGCTTGAATTTTCTTCCCTTTTTGGTTGTATTGTTGGTTTAACACTTTCAACAGAATTAACTAGAGTTTCTACATATGAGGATATACACCAAATTGTAGACACAATCAAATCTCATAATGCTATTGCTTCTCAAGTTCATGTTTACTTATTACAGGTATATAGTATATAATAGTTATTAAATAAAAACAAGTTTAATTATTATATATAAGCTTATAAATACTTATTTATTTATTATAGATTCCTTTTTCAAAATTCCCACCATGTGTTATTGCAATAATTGCAAATCAAGAAAAGGAAACTGCAATAAGTATTTTTAAGCTACATAAAAAATTGCTTGATATGGCGCCCAACTTCAACTTAAAATTCTTGGATTTGGTGCCGATGGAGCCTCAGCTGAGTTTAATTCTCAGAATTTACTTATGCAAATAGAAATATCAGAAAGATTGATTTTTAAAGATAATATTTATGGTAAACAAATTTATATTTTACATATATATTTAATACAATTAATCTGACTAAGCTTATTTTAAATTTATTTTTAGATATTAATTTTAGTTGTACTATTTACCCTAATATTGGCTCTATTATTCATATTACTGATCTCTTACATGAAAAAAAGGATTGTCGCAATGCACTTTTTTCTGGAGCTTACTTGGAAAATATTTAGCATGATATGATCAAATTCTGGAATTAAGAAAGAATCCAAAAAGTATTTTATATAAAAAAGATGTAGAAAATGTCGATCGTCAAGATGATGGTACTTCTTATCGACTTTTTTGTTCCTCACTTCTTAGTCAAGTTATTGATAAAAACAATCAAGCCAATACCAGATTATTTGTTTTTTTATTTGTTTTTGGTTAGTTAAAATAACTTTAAAAAACTGATTAGTTTTGTTATCATTATTAATTAATTAATGAGTAATTTTTATTACTGTATAGGTGAATTAATTGATGCTTTTCAAAATCGCAAAATTTTATCACTTGAAAGATGCAGAATGGTTATGTTAGGTTTCTTCTTTTTAAATCATTAAAAAAGTCATATTCAAAGTTGTGCACAAGATTATCCCGAATTTATGAGCATTAAAAAGAATTTTATAGCACCAGTTATATTTAATATTTTGACAAGTCTTTCAGAATCTATGGTACTTAAATATAATATTTATTCAAATTGTTATTACAGTATATAAGTTATATTTAATAATTGTACAACTTTCTATATTTAGATTCTTCTAATAATTGCTTACTGCGATTTTTATCCCCAATTTCCTTTTACTCTATGGATGTATAGTTCGGAAGGATGTGAATATTTT